GCATCCTCCATTTCTTGAGCCCTACTGGTCCACCAGACTTCGTTGTCAGCACGTAGGCTCCGCTTTAGTTCACGCCTAATTGCCCGTCTGGTCACATTGTGTTCAGAGCCAGCCAGGAGGTGTCTTCTAGATTCCAACAGGTTCACCGACCTCTCGGATATCCAGTGACTGGTGCGGTGACGATGGAGAGTGCCACAAGCAGATGCTTCTGCGTCGTGCGTGGCGGCCGAGATCCTATTCCACTGAAGTTCAGTGTCATTTGACAAGACAGCGGAAGTTCTGTATGCAGTGTTTCTTGTTAGGCTTGCCTAACCAAGGGCTGAAACTATTTCTCAGTTGCCAATCGGAGGAGACGCTTGGTGCGCCTCCCGGTAAAGTTCATGGAGAAACGACAGCGTACCAAGGCATGATCAGAGTCGACACAGGTACTCCAGTACGAGCGGCAATCCAGGATGGAACCACGCCACTTGTAACTTACGGCTGCGTGATCAATTTGGGTCCATTGCTGGCCAGCTACAGGAGGACACCAAGTGACATGTCGGCGCGCAGTCTAAAAGCAGTGCTACTAAGAAACAACTGGTGCTCCGCACACAGTTGCAGCAGACGCTCACCGTTGTCAGTCAGTTCGGAGTTAAGCCCATAATTACCACCCAGCTGAGCTTCTGAAATGCTCAGACGTCCTACTTGTGCATTCATATCGCCTGCAAGTAATATAATATCTGAACTAGTAGCACTGCGTGGTAGCGCGTTCAGTTCGTGATAGAATGTGTCCTTGACAGCATTAAAACTGCAGTCGTTGTGGGCATAAGCGGAAATCACAAACAAACGACGTTTTGTATTACTTCGTGAATCAACCATAGCTGATATCGTCAAACGGGTTGCACATAAACGGCTGTTCACCGGAATCCAATCAACCAATGATGGCACAACCTTGGAGCTTAGAATGATACCTACACCAGCTTGACCTGTGAGTGCTGCATCGGCGTCTCCGGATGCGTGCAACCAATAACGAGAGGATAAGCCGGGTGCAGTTAATTCAATAACCCCGTTAGGGTCATTGATCCTAGTTTCGGACACAACACACATCAATACCCAGTGTGTCCAAGGTGCGTGCGAGTGCAGCCTGTTGACCTGTTTGTCTTAGAGTGCGAACGTTGAATGTCCCCATGGAAACGGGATAGCGTGGCCTTATAAGGGACTTTTGCCGATAGGCCTCAGATAGGTGCGGTAGGATGGTGGCTGCAGATGGTTCTACTCCAGTGGCACTTCGGTTGCTGTCAATTAAGCTGAGAATTATAGAAAGAAGGTTAGTAATGGGAGTCGGGATGGGAGTAATAGGAAAAGGTAGAAAAGAAAGAAGGGAGGCGCCAGCAGTAGCATGTTTTCGCTTATCCGCCCTGCTGTATGCAGCAGATAAGGCGACCCTTGATAATCTGCGCGACGGCCGAGGCAGGATGAAGTTTATGTTTGAAGAAAATGTCATGGTTGTATGTGGGCTGAGATACTGCCAGGGCGCCCAGACCTAGACAGGAGGACGATTAGGGTCCTCATCCAAAGCCTTTGGCTCAAAAGCCTGTCCGCAAGGCAGCGAGGAGGTGGCAATGATTTAGTTTTACAGAAATGGACGTCATCCCATTTCAAACCGCCAACCTGGAGGACCAGGAGACTGAGTTTGTTTGATCTCTCACCATTGACCAACCTGGTAGGAGTAGTTCTCAAGGTGCCCGGAGGCATCACCCAGTATAGCTCAATGGGTCAAGGAGGTACGTAAACCGTCGCACCACGTTAAGGTCCAGTCTCGTTGCGACGGACTGGAGGAGCAAAAACTGCAAACGAAACTGTTCGCTGGTTGCCAGCAACGCTGTGATCCTGTCGTCTTTCTGTGATTGAACTCGAGGAATGCAGAGCATTAAGTGAAGCGCCGCTTTCGAACTGTGTTGACTTTGCTCTACATTGTGATAACCGCCTGTCGTTAGATGAGACGAAATACCATAGTCAACTTTAAACAGTATACAGCTATCCAGCTCAATCCTGATCGCCTACAGTACAGTCAAGTGACTGAGGTTAGTTCGATTCCACGTGCCGTAATTAAGCGGTTGGCATATGGTTATGTTGGAAAACTGGGATAAATCCGTCATTACTCTGTTGGGTGCCATGTACATCTCATTACCTCATGCATGTGTCCGGTCTCAAACAGCGTCAAGATTTCACTAGAAGTTCCGGATATTCGCCTAGATTGGTACCCAGGCAAACCGTAGGATATTTATTAAGTCACTCATGTACACTTCAGGTTTGAACTACCAAATAACCCTAACTTTCCAATCTCGGCTTATGTAGCTACTGGACAAGATGGCCCCATTAATGGTACAGGGGTGTGGTTCGACGAGTTTTCATGCTTTAATTCCCTGGCTAACAAAGCAGATATCATTTGGCTTTTTTGGTGGGTTGAAGGTTGTTTACCAGCTGGTGTTCTGCATCCCCGAATGTGTACGTGTTCCGTTATCTCCAAGATGCTCAGCAGCATCGATTATTTGCGTTTCTATTCACTTGTTCCGCATAACCGTCTCGGTCCTAGGTGACATTTGCTAGACGCGTACCTGCGATTCGGGTGATTGTTGAAACCGGTCGACTGTCGCTCTGCAGGGATTCGTACACGAATGCATCTTCATACACTACGCCAACTCATCCTATGCGGCTTATGCCCTAGTGGATGCATGTACGTGTGCTTGAGTGCTTAGTCGTTTTCATCTTCGAATTCCCAGTGAAGATTGACACCTGTAAGTCCGGTCGGAGTTGCCAGCCTGCCGTGCTAAAGCAATCACCGTTCTCACGTTGGTTGGCTGCCGGTCAACCGTACACCCCACCCTGAGACAGGTTTTATGGTTTTATAACGGTCACTTTTAGTCCACAAAGTGGATCATTTTCAGAGGATATGGAGATTGATCGTCCATAATGTGTTGTGAAAACGATACTGTGGATCAACACCAAAGAGAAGGTGCTGAGCTCCATGAGAAGGGGGTTGAGGTGGATGTTATCAGAAGACTCCAAGACCTTGTGGGGGATTGTGGTCCGAATAGGGAAGAAATGCAATGGAAGCAAATAATTAAGTGTCTTAATCAGCTGAACAAGATCAAAATTAGCAGAGGCCACAATTCACAATCCCCAAGGGGGGTCTGAGTGACAAGTGGGTGCTTTGTTCTTAAACAAAACCACCGTGTTCGCAAACTCAAGCATTACAGTTTTTCACATATTCCCTGCTTCCTTTTTATATCTCCACTGAGGGTTAATGCAGTGACAATAATTCTTTCAAAATAAGCGAATGATACTGAATAATTTTTGTGGTCGATTACCTAGAACTAAAGAGTAAACAACCGGCCTTTTCCCAAAGATTGAAGCAGCTTGGAACTAGCTTGTAAATTACAGCCATAGGGACGTTCAAATCTGCAGTGGATTGTGGGTTTGTTCCTTATTTACCTCAGGTCCGGTTGGAAAGTTTTCCCTCAAAATATTTTAATCCACTCTGTTATTCACCATTTGTCGATCAAATGGCAATAGTCCTGTGTGCAAGTGCTTGGAAAATCTTGATCATGCTTTGTTATGTGTCTCGTGCAAATCGAGATTAATCTGTTATCATTATTCTTGTTGTTATTATCAACGTAGAGCTATTAGTTTTGAGCAGATTTATCTCCGGTAACTATTACCGCTAACAAAATATGCGACATTTACGGAGGGAAACTACTTCAGTTCATAAATTACCCCCATGAGATCAGTAATGATCAAATGTGCGCGGAATATTCTTTTCGATAAATCATTTCAAGCGTCTACAATTACGATACGGATAAGCTTGTGAAAGCCTTAGTAAAATAGGATAAATATACATTGCGGGAACCACACTTTTGTCCAACTGGTTAGCTAAACATTATGAATTATAGATCAATGGTTTGCTCAGCCAGACTAGACGACAACCACAAATGCACGTGACCAACACTGGACGATTAATGCTGGAGCGGGTTTATGGCCAGGGTAATGTCAGAGCTTGTACCAGAGTTTGCTGTTTTCACCGTTCTGGTTTCGAACTGGAATTGCGATGGCCCCGGTGATGAAAACGGGAAATTACTTTCTAAATGCATCAGAACAGGTGTTGCTAAGTAATTATGTGAGCTTTACAATGACGCCATTAGGTGATTTTGCAGCAGTTTCGAAAATGCAGTGAGGCGAAACCTTGGAACTGAGCGAATCTTTCCATCCATAAATTGGTCCATACACTTTACTGGCGTTGTCTGCTTAGTTGTCTTAAATCTTTGACATCTGTTGCGTAGTTTACGACGGCTAATCTCAAGTATCATCAGTTAAGAGTAAGCAGATGGGACAGCGCGCGTTTACATCTGTCATGCAATGCAAGTGAACAATGCTAGGGGGGCGTTGTTATGCATTCCACGTACATGATCCGCAGTTGGATCTTCATGAGTTAACGCGCAGAGCTCCAGAAGCAATCGCAAGCTAGTGCATTCTAGGAGTAATGTTATTAGCTATATGTTGAAAAAAATATTCACGACAAGGCTGTTATGAAGTGACAGATACAGAGGAAGATTGACTCGAGAGGCAGTAAGGAATTGTACATTCCTTTTCAACTATGAGTTCATCTGTGCTAAGCATCAGTACCCAAAAACGATTAAAATCAAATATAAATAAATTGTTCTATTACCGACCAAAAACAGGATACGAATACATCAGTAATTGGTGGAACAGTGGGGTAACAAAACTTGTAACAGATTTACGAATTGGCCTCATGGGATGTGCGAGCATCGGATGAAACCGAAAGCTTCCGCTGAGTCAGTATGAATATCGTTGCTGCGATATCAGGCCAGCAGTATCGTTCCTGATTGTATACAACATAGGAACGTAGTTACAACATCAGTCAACTCAGAAATTCGATGTAGACGGAGTAGAACAGGGAGATTTACTCTGCTATAACCGTGTTAGCTTGCCAGTCACAATACTTTGTTGACACAAAGAACGTCCTCGGCGTGATGCCGAATCTTCTATGTAAGTGATGGCTGTAGAGATGGAAATTTGGGTGTTGTATGTCGCAATCCATTCACACAATAACGCCTGTACACTTATCATGTTTTTTGCTTACATATCTACTGCATTTTTATGATGTGATTTTATGTGCGTCAAGCATACCAAACAAGGACTCGCGGGAGTTTGGGGACTGAACCACCACGTAATTCCCCGCTCTTGAGTTAGACATGAAACCACAGCAGCCTGCTTAAATTTCGGTAGGTTCTTCCAAGTCTCCAGCGTATAGAATATGAAATGTAAATCAAAACGCCTCTCGACATTGATAGTCTATGGTGGCAGAAGCGGGAGTAATACAGACAGAGTTCAGAATATATCAACACATATTCGACTCATTTTAGGTCAGTTGATCAGAACTAACGAAACAGCACTTCAATCACGCTTGATCTCAAGACTGCAGACTTTGATATATATATATATATATATATATATATATATATATATATATATATATAACCCACTGTAAAGACCATCGGGTATGCCAAATTATGAGCAACATGTTGGTTCGGATACAGGAAAACCTGGATGCCAGTGGAAAATCTGCGAATAAGAGAGCGCTTCCCATTACCGGGGCACCTAATCAGCTCAATGATCATAGCGGTTAAGCGTTTCCGGTTCAACAAAATGAAGATGGAGGAAAATGTATATTTGAGCCCATCGGCTTCCGGCTGGATTCTTCCTCCAAATTGACTCTCATGAATCAACCTTTTGATCCCCTTTCCAAAACGGATTGGGCAAAACACACATAATCACCATCAGTACACATTAGCTGAAGGTGAGAAACACACTTCAAAAATTGGGCCGCAATACACAACAATATGGCATACGAAAAAAATACTGAAAATTATAGAATGCAAAATGTGAGATACTGCTTAGTAACATATGCCTCAATAGAGAGATAGTAGTTGGAGGGGGAAGGTAAACTCGATGGGGCTGGACAAAGAAACGCACAACACGAACAACACTGAGGTCGACTCCTTGCCATGTTGCCAAGCGTATATAACCAGACGGGTTAATCCTCCTTGGAACCCAAGCCCCGCAGTGGGGACACACCAACAAACGCCAACTTCGGATAAGGGATTTCCTTCCTCTTGACCAAGTCATCGCTTGATCAACTCTCCTCCTCTTCCATCCACACCCCGGCTCACAAACAATGCACGACGCGGGAGTCGGCCCACTGACATGCGCAGCATGTGCCCCAGCCATTGGATGCTGGTGCGTGATATAACAGCGTTGAACTGTTCATTCGCTCTTACTGTACCAAATACACGTAGCCGAACACGCTAATTGCTTACGTCGTGTTCCCGACAGACAAGAGTTAAGTTAGGAAGACGGTGATGATTGAACGGAACTAGCCACTTTGTGTTTGTCGACTTGATGGGCTAGGTTTCACAACCATACAACAGAGTTGAAAGAATGTATGCATGATAAACTCTGCCCTTTAGGGTGAGAGTGATATCGCTCCGACACCATAGGTGGCGCAGATTGGCAACATCGCTCCGAACTTTTACAATACGGTTTGTGATCTATTTTTCCATACCATTGGGGCTGATATAGTTGTCTAGATAGTTGAATTGCTGGACGAATTCAAGCTGATCCACATCAAATTTCAGAGCATCGGTGGGTCCCTGCCAAACTAAGAGGACTTTGCACTTCGAGGGTGCAAATCATAGTCCAAAACGACTGACAGTCAGTGCTAATTTGTTCTGTACTACTTGGAAATTTTGAAAGCTGTCACAGATAAGGAAAAGCTAGGCGGCGTACTCCAAGTCAAGACGTCGTTCACCTGGGAGCAGCTCCACGTCGTGCAGGTAGTGCCCAGTGAACGCTGTTTCCATGATTTCATCAATGACAAAGTTAAGAGGGAAAGGTGACAGCTGGCAACCTTGTTTCACGCCGCTGAAGATATTGAAGGGCCGCGACAGTTTGCCTTAAACCCTCATTCTGTCCAAACTATGAGCGTAAGGCAGTCTGACTGTGTTTACATATATTTCGGGCACACGTTCCCTAATTAGACGGTAACTAAGAGCATATCGTTCAACCTGATCGAAGGCAAGTTTGATGTTGAGGTGGCAAGCTGATAAATATGGCGGTGTTCCATTAATTGACCCAACGAGTTTGCGATGAAACCCGACTGGCTCCTCGCGAATCTGGCTTCCAAGTGTGCCATGAAGTCTATGAAGCACCGCAGAGGCGAGCATCTTAGAGGCAGTTGATAGCAGACTGATCCCTCTATGATTGCTGCATTGCGAATGTAAGTGTCCATGAAAATTGGTATTTTTACTAATCGGATTCAGTCTGTGGGGATAGCACCTTGCTTCAGACTTAAGTTGGGCGCATTATGTAGAACAGCAGGTCAGCCGAATTTAAAGAGAGCTAGAGGAATTCTCTGCGTTTCTGCAGCTTTATTTACTTTCAACTGTCTGATCTCACATCCAGCATATATCCGGGATGGCGCCTTCAGGGGGACGGCCAAGTGAGAACGGTGATTAATGCCCGAAAAAGAAAGTGATAAAGCAGGTTGTTTAAACTGTTTTGCAAAGTGTTCGACACAAAGCTGCAGACACTTTGTCAAACGTGTCGTATGGCTAACACCAGCTCACATTCTGCCCGATGTTCGTAGCAAATGGAAGTGCATCCGAAGGTTACCAAGAGCGGCAGCTGTCTCCATATCCGATGTACGATGAGACCATCAAATTTTGCGGTCGCTCCTCACTCTAGTACGCAGTTTCTCTCTGAGGTCTTTGCGAATCTCGTCGTGTTCGCTCACAGTTGGAATGTGTCTGTGAGCATCCAGAAGTTCCAGAGTTTGCATATAGATCCAAGGTTCAGCTTTGTAACTTGATTTGCCACATGGAGATATACCTGCGGCTAACAAACTCTAGTGAATATGCGACTATTGGCCCTCTATTGTGTGCAAAGAGCGTTTACTCAATCTGAATGCTAGCACAGTTTGATACACATTTAGGACATTTGGATTAGCCCACTGGCATGTATTTGCACTCATAGCGACACCGCATGCGCCCACCGAAGCGAACTATAAGATGGGCGCAAATGAGTGCGTAGTCAGAGTCCATACTCGTGCCCCAAATTGAGTGACATTTTTGGACACAGCCTCTACATCAACAACTGCTCGCGATGTAATCGAGTTGCTTCCACGGCTGATCTGAGGCTGGTGAGCGTCATGTCACTCGTATGCGGTTAATGTGTCGAAAGTTAGTGCTCGAGAGAAGTAGACGAGCATTTTCACACAGGTGCAGCCAACGCCCACTGTTATCATTACGAGAACCTACGCCGTGTTGGTCGCTTAGAAGAAAAGCATCAGTGGATAGCTTTCTAACTTGAGCGTTCAGATTGCCAGCCGGCATCACAGTATTCGTACCTTGCTGTAGCGAAGGAGTTCGTTCAAATGGTGATACACGTCGTCATTCACCGAGTCAGCACAAAAGTTTGTGGGCGCATAGTCGGCAATGACAAACAGGCACCGTTTAGCTGCGCGCGACTTCGTAGCTCTGAATGAGCCAGCCAACCTAACGGCACACATCCAGGTGTTTATTTGGATCTAGTCAACCAGGGCAGCTCCTGCCCAGGGACTCAGAGCAATGACCACAACAGCTTGACCAGTATGTGAAGTTGCCTTATCTCCAGGCAAACGTAAGGAGAATGCGCCGCCAGTGTCTCTTGCGGGGAATGTCGGGGTAATCAGGAACTCGCATTTTGCAGGTGGGTTTCCGATAAGCAGCAGATATTGATCAACAGGGTCTCCAGTGTACGAGCAAGTGCTGGCTGCTGGCCTATCTGTAATCAAGTACGCTCCTTGAAGCATTCCACTCTGAGAGAGGATCAGGGCCCCACGGAAACCAGTGAACTGACATTGTCCGCTTGTTTGAACGTGGACCTGTCGATGGACTGGAACGACTCTCTGCGATTGCATGTGAGTCGAAACTAACAAAGTGACGTGTGAGCAAGAAGGGGAATGGCGAAGAATTGGAGGGTTGAAAACAGGGGGATAAAGGCGAAGCTGGAGTTAGTCGGTGAGAATGAAAAAGCGCAAGAGAAGGATAAGAAGACTGGAAGGCCTGAGTAGTAGCATCCAAGTCCCTATGCACCATGCGCCGCTTATTAACCTCTACGACGACCAGAGGATCAAGAAAGTACGTGGAGAGTAGTTCAGAATTGTACTGCACTGAAAAGATACTGTAAGGTTGCCCAGGCCTGGACAAGAGAACAAATAGGGTTTTAAACCAAAGCCTTTGGTCTATAAACCTAACCATAAGACAGCGGAGTTTTGGCACTGTGCTACAGAGAGTTCGTTTTATGGACTATGGCGGCCCCCACACTCCAAACTTCAATCTGGAGGACCAGGAGGCTGAATTTGTCATCTCTACTCATTGACCAGTATAGGATGAATGGCTCTGAGTGTGCAAAAAGGCACCACCCAGCATGGTTCAGTAGATCGCTGAGGCACGAAAACCATCGTATCACCTTTAGGACTAGTGTCGCGATAGCAAAACACACAGAGCTAATCACAAGAAGTTACTTCAGTCAGCAAGCCAGTCTGTGGTTATTCTCTACTGCTTACAATTGTCTTATTGCGCAATCAATCGACCGCCATCAACCCAACCGCCTTGGGGAAAAGCCAGAAGAAGAGGGATAACGGGGTGAGATACAAGTTCATTGTCGAAAGGGACAGTCAGGTTAGATAAAAAGCATCACAAAATGGTTACAGCTAGGGGAGAATTATGGTCGCCAACGCAGACGTCGCGAGCATTTATCGAGGCGGAAAGCCGAAATCGCTCTAACTGCGATCCGTCTGGTTAACTCAAACGCACGCAGTCGCCGTTCGAACGGGCAAGCTTTCCACTTTGCCTAAGTACAGAGTGAAGGTTTATTTTAGTAATATGTTACACATTCATCCCAGACAAACGAGGGAATCTCGAGGTCAGATCTCCTTCTAGAAAAAAACCATGGGTGACCCATCGGTCTAGTTGAGGACTCTCCGTCGCCGGCCAGCCTCCTGCAAGACCAGGTGTTGATACCTGATG